GGTACGTATGAGTCTTTTATACAGATTAAACAAACATTTTTTGTCACTTCCCCATGTAGTGCGTGACAACACTTTCAGAACTTTCATTGTTTTAATGAACTTGTTTTTTTAATACTTCATGTTTGGTACGAAGGTTAGCTTGGCGTCCAAGAATAGAGATAATAATATGTGTTCAGCACTAAAAGAAAGACGTTGCTTATTCAGTTGAACATAGGGTTCGGAATGAATATCTCTCTTCCTTGAGAACAAGACACACGTGCTTTTGTGTGCATTCAGTCGGTACACGTTTTCTTCTGCGCAATTGGATAATTTATTCAAACCGAGCGGGACCTGCTGCTCACACAATGCCAGATTACAAGATTTTAAACCAAGCTGGACGTCGTCAACATATATGCAATAAAACATATTGTGTAAGATGGACAAGCGCAAAAAATTATTTTGATAATAAAAAGTGTGCAACTAAGTACACCACCTCGTGGCACTCCTGCTTCTTGAACAAATGTTTTGGAAAAAGCGCTGCCCACTCGGACCCGGAATGTCCAGTTCGACAAGTAACTCTTCATTATGGTGAACATTCTGCCACGCACGTCAAGGTGGGACAGGTTCCTTGATATTCGAAAGCGCCATGCTGTATCATAAGCCTTTTCGATATCGAGGATCAAAGAAATAAAGTATTGTTTGTGGACGAAAGCGTCTCTGATCTGCGCCTCTGTACGAACAATGTGGCCGGTGGTGGATCTACCCTCTGGAAATCCACACTGGAATGATTCGAGCAAATTGTTTCTTTTAATGAAATGTACAAGTGGGTAGTTTATCTCTTTTTTTACGAAAAGCTTGCACAAGCAGCTTGTAAGCGCAGTAGGCCCACAACTCGAAACTGAAGAAGGGTCTTTGCCCTCTTTCAAATTGGGAATAATAAGAAACACCTTCCAGGAAGCAGGGATAGTGCCTGAAAACGAGATAGCATTGTACAAATAAAGTTATTTTTTTGCTTTCAAATTGGGAGGTTTTTAATCATTTCATACAGCACACAGGAACCTGGTGCAAAATTACTGCAAGAGTTCAGTGATGTTTGGAGCTCAGCTAAGATGAAAGCTTGGTTGTAGGCCTCGTATTTTGTACATTTGTGTTCCAGTTACTGCTTCTCTATTCTTCTTTTGTATTTGTGAGTTTCGAAACAACCTCCATGCACTGTTCTGCTCCTTTAGCGCATTCCTACAATCAGTGTTCCACCAGGGCACATGTCGCTTGCCATGAATTCCAGATGTTTGCGGTATGCACTTGGCTGCTACGTCAGTAAGAAAAACTGTGAAGTACTGCACAGCTTCATCAATCTCTAACCTACATATGTCGGTCGAACCTAAACAAGTAGTGTTGCGAAAGTGTTCCCAGTCTGCTTTTTTATCAGCCATTTGGGAACACGCGGAGGACATTCATATGATGTGTGTGTACTCAACACTACAGAAAAAAAGACACTTTCATATAGATTATTTATGATTTTATATTTCTGTAGCGGTAAAAGCGAAGGAGATACGATGCTGAGGTCGATAGTCGAGTAAGGTTTGTTGGCCACGTTGTAGTATGTTGGCTCTTTCTTACTCAACAGACAGGCACCGAAAGAGAAGAAAAACTGTTCAATGAGTCGACCTCGTGCATCACAGCGAGAATCTCCCCACAGACCGCTATGTGCATTCAGGTCGAGCAGATAAGGTTCAAGTAGTTCAAGTCTATTAAAGACTGGAATTCACGTCTTTCGAGACAGTGGTGTGGAGGTATGTAAAAAAGAGCAGACAGTGACGAGTTCGTTTAGAAGTTCTTATCGGACAGTCACCGCATCAAGGGATGTCTGGAGTGGTAAGTGTGTACACGCTACTCCTTGATTAACCATAATGGCCACGCCTTTGGATGACGCAACAGCATCATCCCGTTCCTTTCATATTATGACGTAAGCACGCAGAAAATTTTTATCGGGGGATTTCAGGTGTGTTTTCTGTACACACAGCACTTTTAGTGAGTGTTTGTGCAAGAGCTCTTGGACATAGTGGAGGTTTTTAAGCAGTCCTCTGACGTTCCAATATATAGTTTGTGTTTACAAATTGGAAGTAAAGAAGTGCTGTGTGTACGTTAAGAGGGTTACTTGTTTAAGCTGAAAGTTAGAGCTTAAGTAACAGGGCTGTTATGAGCTTTTCAGTTTTTTTTTTTTTTTTTGGCGCGCTCCAGAGAGCCACACCGCTTTTACGGCACCAGGGGTGCCGCTGTATCCAGTGCCTCCTCGGAGGCACTGGACGCCCTCACATGCGAGATGCTTGTCCGAAGTTTGGGCCTCACCTGGTGAGGTGAGGCCTTGAGACCCAAGCACATTGGCGTTTCTGGTTTTGGTTCAATAGTAGGCGGAGTAGACTCAACTACTGCCGCTTTGGGGGCAAGCGCCGGGGCCGATGGCTCGCTCTGATGTCTTCGGTGCGTACCCGCTTTGAGCAAGCCCCATCACTAAGCAAATGAAACGCTTTATGCATTCTAACTGTATGTTGTTCAGCAGCGTTGGCAGCCACGCACCACGCAGGCCGAAGGAGTGTCGAGGGCTGGTGCAACGCTGCCCCCTGACGCGCCGCATCAGCATATGCTAGGCCATAATATAGCGAGACTCTTCTTCTTGCTTCTTTATATGTGATGTTTTCTTTTATTTTCAACGTGACAATCTTTTTTTCTTTTTTTCCAAAATGAGCAGGACCGTGAGTAATCGGCATGATTCCCACCTCAGTTCACACAATGTGCAGATGCTTCGCAGTTGTCGGACGCGTGGCCCACGACTCCACACAGAGCACAAGTTTGCCAGCCACGACAACTTTGCGAGCCGTGGCCATATCTCTGACATTGGAAGCAACGGCAAGGGTTAGGAATATGTGGCCTCACGGAAGGCTTTGTATACCCAGTTTGAATGGTTTCCGGCAGATCGCTCGAAGCAAAGGTCAATCTTAGCTGCTTAAATGGTTTGCTTTTTTATCCGTTTTATCTTATTATGCCGTAATTTGGTCACGTTCTGGCTCTTCCATCCTTCCAGAAGTTCAGATTCAGTCAGCTCAAGCAAACCTGCATTTGATACTAGCCCGCGAGTCGAGTTCATAGACCTGTGCGGTTTAATACTGATTGGTGTGTCGCCAGAAGTTGTGAGAGAGTTCAGTTCTTCGAATTCGTCTCTCCCTTGTATCTCAAGGAGATCTCCACTGGCCATTCTGGTAACCTTGAACCCGGCACAGAGAGTTTCGGTTGAGCACCTAGCCACTACGAGGAGGCATACTGTTCTAGCTTGTTAGTTTCCTCACAGTGTATAACACGGAAGTGAGGAAAGCTTTATTTTGGCCGGCTAAAAATATTGATGTCTTCGGTGCGTAGCCGCTTTGAGGAAGCACGACCACTAAGCAAACGTTTTATGCATGCTAATTGTATGTTGTTCAGCAGCGTTGGCGGCCGCCCACCACGGAGCCCAACGGGAGGACGCTGAAAATTTGCGAATGCTGAAAGCTTGCAGACGTCAGCCGTACAACACTGCTACAACCCAATGCGCCTAAGCCAAGGTAGGCTATTCGCACATGTTTAACCCTTGCCGCCGATAAAATTGGAAATAAACAGAAGGGAGAAGTGGACAGCAGAGATAAAAAAGTGAGAAAGGCGAAGACGTCGAGAGAGAGGGGGATAGGAAAAAGCGACTGACGGTTTACTTTGGGTGGTTCAGTCGAGGGGTGCCGTCTACGCGAAGCCGGGGCCAAAGGGTTGTGTTGCCTCTGCGGGGGGGGGGGGGGGGGGTATTAAACATCGAATTACCTAGTGTCGGCTCACTTCCGAGGATCCCCTTTTTCCAGACACAGCAAAGCCACGCACCGCTAGCTGTGGGAGGGAGTCGAAACCTCCACGTTATCTCGGGTTTGTGGTGTCGCTACACACCGAACGCCTGATGTGCAGACGCCCCTGCGGGGTACACAATCGAGGAGATTTGCCGATTATAAGGTGAATTTTCCCGATTGTTTCACACCTATTAACGGTGGCACATATCCACTTCAGGCGTTTTTTCTTCATCATCGTCAGCCGCAAAATGCAAACAAAATTCACACAACATTCGTTGCAGTGTTTAGCTCATACCTCGCTTCTCCGAACATGATGAAAGATAGCACAGTGAATGTTGCCCTACTACACAGAAATTATGATTATTTATGGTGTAGTTGGTACCCAGGAAGTATGCTATTAGCATTTACCTGAAGATTGTTTAGAAAAGGCTCTGAAAGGTCGCTCATTATGCTTTTGCTGTGACTGTGCTTCCCGGTGCGAGCAGGCCTGGTCATTTTTATTATACAAAGAAATTCGTGCTCTATCATCACGCCATAGTTTTTTCATAAAAACTTTTCGTCGCTCACTTTTACTGTATACACCTCATGTCACACCCGCGATTTTAATGCCTATAAGTTAACTAACGTTTAGCGCGAGGAATTTTCAGGCCACTGTACACCCAATTATCATACCCATTACCCACTCCTCGTCTCTCGCCCCGCCGCGGTGGTCTAGTGGCTAAAGTACTCGGTTGCTGACTCGCAGGTCGCGGGTTCGAATCCCGGCTGCGACGGCTGCATTTCTGATGGAGGCGGAAATTTCGTAAGCCCGTGTGGTCAGATTTGAGTGCACGTTAAAGAACCCCAGGTGGTCGAAATTTCCGGTGCCCTCCACTACGGCGCCTCTTATAATCATATGGTGGTTTTGGGACGTTAAACCACACATATCAATCAACACCTCGTCTCTCAAGTACGGGCGATACTTTGCCATGACATTACCCTTGCGCCTATCAACAACATATATCATCATCATCATCATCAAGCAGACGAGTCGCGCTATTTCTTGCATGGCAGTCACAACGCCAGCGGCAGTGCTTCTCGTGGCGGATGCAGTAATACTGCACGCGCCACCCGCACTGCGCATCGAACGCCAGTATCTAGTGCAGTATCCGCTCCACGATGCCGAAAGAGTTGAACAAGGCAGCAGGCGACACTCTGGAGACGAGTGCCCTTTCTAAGGCCGAGGTAGTGGCGACACCGGCACAGACATCACTCCCAGGCCTAAAATCACTGAAGCGGCACCTGCGAAAGACGTACGGTGATCGCTCCTCGGAGATGGTAAGCCGCTACTTCCGCTCCATGCTTGACCTCGCCTCCTACGACAACCACACAACGTTCCTCATGCGCTGCCGTACCAAGCAAGTCGTGCCGCATGCCTATCGCATTTACTGCAACAACGTCAAGAGCACCAAGCAGGTGGTGCGCATCTTGGACGAGTACACCCACAAGCTCATGCTTTCAGACCTTACCTACAACCGCTTGCGAAAGGTGCAGGTGTCGACTCTCATAGCGCGTCTATACGAGAAGCTCGAGAAGATCTTGTCGCCGGACGACTTCAAGAGTGTAGTGCTGCTGGCCAAGGGGAAGTACGAGAGCGTCTTCAAGGCCACCAGGGACAAGCAGCGTGCCATGTTCGACGACCTACTCAAAGAGCGCGGCATTCAAGAAACAAGAAGGTCGGCTCTTTCAGGGTGAGCCTTCATTCGCCATGCGTGGTTTTTTGCCCCGCGTGGTGAGCGTGCCAAGGCTGCGCTCACCATACAGGGCAATGAATCAGAGTCTCTGGAGTGAGAGTACAAGGCCGATGCAGCGAACTTCATGGGACTCGGACGAGTCAAGCATGTGGGACTTTTTTCTCTTTATTACTTTAGAATTAAAAGTTTACTTTAGAAAAAAAACAACGAAAAGCACTGAACGTCAGCACTAAATGCTTTACTATCGACGAAGTAAAAGCACCTGCCCTTTCTGGAAATGTTCTCTCAAGTTTCCGATATTTGTTGCCTGCCCTGTGCTGGTTTGGTTGGTTGAGTACCGGCTGGTTCTTTTGTTTTTTTAGTACCTGTAGCGCATTATTTCGTTTAAAGCTGAACCAGGTTCTTTTTTTTTTTGGAATGGCTTATCATTTGAGGGTGCATTGATGTCCAGAAATTCTCCTGGTCAAGACCATTCCCCAGCCTCTATACGTCATGATGACCTTCCTCTTGGCATGTTTCTGCATAACGATGTGAGCAGTGTTCCCGTGATGCTGGTACCTTTGGGTGGCGACTTCACTAACTTGAAAATTCGGCAGATCCCACGTATTACAAAAATCGATGTTATTCGAAGCAAGCAGAGAGAAGGTGACTGTCGGTAATTAGTGAAGGGTTACCAAATGATGGCAAATATATGTGTAAGTGTAGTACGCACGGACGTGTGTTCAACAGTCGGATATTTATTTTTTAATTACAAAATACTGCAGACCATGTGGCCCATGCAGGAGGGGCAGGGTACAACATAAATACATGTACAAAGCACAATTTAGTATCATAAGCTAGTCAGGTAACGATAAGAAACAATTATAAACAAAATATATTTAGGAAATATTCAAGCAGTAATTCTTTATTGATTCAGCCGAGTCCAGATGATCAAAAGGTATTACGTACCATTCTTCTATGGTGCGGGGAAAAAAAGAATATTTAAAGAGTTCAGATCTAGCAACATAGGGGGAGCATGTAAGGGGATGGTAACATCGGGTTTTCCTAGTTTCAGAAAGGGTTATGTAAAGACTGAGATCTACAAAAAATTCACGATTTAAAAGAGAATGGAGGAACTTCAGTCGGGATATTTTATATCACTAGTCATTTACACTTACGCAATAATTTCCAACACCCACATGAGTGTTAACAACATCATAAGTGGTGAGATAATATGTTGCGTCTGTGTTCACGAGGATGGTAGGTCTGGATGCCGCTACAAAATCAACTTTAGTAAAGGGCGCTTACTTTGATTGGCGCTAACCCGACGTGAAGGCTTGATCATAGGAGTGCATGTGTAATGTTCATAAAAGTGTCTAGTAAGCATTCCAACAATATACATTTCACCAACACTATGCCTCAAGAGTGCCCTTTGCCAAAGCACAATTGAGAACTGGCTTGGCTCTGTGGTAGAATACTTGATTGTCACGCCGAATGCTTGGGTTCAATTCCTGATGGTTCCTCATATATACTCGTTGCATTCGTCGAATCAATGATGCGAATTTTAACTTTTTTCTGAATGATCTCATATCAATATTACCAATGTCTGTTCTTGTCATTCCTGGGTCAACATAAACTGTCAATCACCTGTGGCACATACCCATCGGAGCGGTGGAGATAGGCGAAGGGGTTGTGATCAAGAAAGGAGAGCAGATTTGCGAAAGAAGAATAGCAAGGAGTTGCGATAGAGAGGGGAAGACACGGCGGGAGGGCGACCTTGAAAACCAAAACGCGCGGGAACGAGGTAGGTCGGGTAGCTTGCTTGAAAGGTCAGCGAAATGCGCGTAGAAATACTTGAAAGAGTAGGGAGTTTTAGTGCAGGGTGCGCAAGCTCTTGGGGCTTTACGGGCTTGGGGGCGCGCGGCGTTGCGTACCCAACCCATATCCAGCTGAAATGCCTTATAGAGGCACGAACGCAAACGCAAGCCGCACGAAAGTCACACGCGCTCGCAGCGCCTTAGCGTCTTAATGGTCGCGTAAGTATTATTTATATGTTTACGATTTAAAATGTTCCGGCTGCAGCGGCTGCATTTCTGATGGAGGCGGAAATGTTGTAGGCCCGTGTGCTCAGATTTGGGTGCACGTTGAAGAACCCCAGGTGGTCGAAATTTCTGGAGCCCTCCACTACGGCGTCTCTCATAATCATATGGTGGTTTTGGGACGTTAAACACCACAAATCAATCGATTTAAAATGTTAAATAAACTTACATTGTGACATGAAGTAAACAAATTTCAATAAATCATTTATAAATAATTTGACAGTTATCAACACGGAACAAAAAAAACTTTCCTATGCGCCTATGCGCCTCACTTGCAACTGAAGCCGGCACCATCGATGCCAAGCAATGCAGATGGCCGGTCGTAGTCCGACAAGTGCGACGACAGAGCAACGGTGTAACGTGCAACTCTGTGTAACTTTTAGCTTGTACGTATACTTCTTTACGTTGACGTGTTACCGGATACCAGTTTGCATTTACCGTCCTACCGGAACGTGCCTCTATCAACGTTTTGAGCTCCTCAGACGTAAATATGTGTGCCTTTACGTTTTCACAAACTATAAATGGTGATGCTAACTGTATTTACACTGCAATTAACTTACATTGGAATGAATCACCGTTGCGGCGAAATCACGAGACTTTTATCGCAAAAAAGTGAAAAATACGAGGTTGCTGTAACGATAGTGTCGCCATTTTGTGACACATCGTGCAACCACAGTCATGAACATCTCGGCTTACACGCAATTATTTTAGGTGAAAATGAATAAAAAGGTTAATAATGTGTAATGGCGCTGATGCGCTGTTTTCGCACCAGACGTACAATGCACAACGTTTCTGCAATAACAATGTTGTGATTGTCTGGTTCACAACGGCCGCGCTAGATGGCGCCACATATTAGGCTGGTCGGAGGGATGGCATATTTTTACTTTTTATGTTCCAGGCCATTCTAATTTTGGTAATCTGGCTGAAACAATGTAATCACTATTGATGCTCACACTTTCGCCTATTTTAACTAGACGGCTAGAGTATCCGCAGTGCGGATAGCGTAAGTTCCTGCGAAAGTGGATCTTACAAGGTGGCCGATCCAAGCTGTCCGAAATTCGGTGCCTTTGTGCCATCATATTTGTATAGTGGCTATCCACTATATTATCTGTGCTTAAAACCTATAAGTGAAAGTGATGGCGCTGGCCAGCCTAGGCTTTGCTCGCCGTGAAGGCGAGTGACATCACGGGTAACTTGATGCGCCAAGGCAGCTTATCTCCACTGGGAAGCCAGTGGTGGCAGCGTTCTTTATGGTGCATTCAGACGACGGATCGAATCCCGATGTGGCGGGACGGACGGCGCGTCACGTGACCTCACATCAGCGATTCCCCTCGTCCGCGTGGCTCGCGGACGGATGAACTCAACCTGTTTCTCACATCGGGATTCTGGCGGGGGAGAGCCGGTACTTCAGCGGAATAGCTTGGGGTCGGTGGCAACCAGTACACTTTTCGTCTGCTCGCGGCATGTCCTCCATGGCTCGCGGACAGCTGCATGACTGGTCGGCATCATCTACGCTTGAGCATTGTTTACTTAGTTTCCGGAGACTTTGTTCTCGGGTGATTAAATATGCAGAAATCACTTTTGGTGGTTCGGGAAATGTCGCCGCCGTCGCTTAACACGCGAGATTCTTAGCCGTCATGGTGGTGAAATATTCCAACTTCTGCAACCGGCTACTTGCCGCTTCTAAAAAAAAAAAAAAGGCGGGAGACACGTTTAGAAGTTCTACAAGTGGGGAATATAGTAGTTGAAAGAATATCCTGCTAGCAACTCCCTTTTCTCCTGAAAGAATAACACTACTCGTTCATTTGTCACAACACGACAGACAGACATCGCAGCCAAGCTTCGCTTCTTGCGGGCATCCATGTTGAATACTCTCAAACCGGTCTGCTGCCAGCGGGCGCAGGTGAGCGCCGAATCTGCTGTCGAGGGTAATCCGGCTGTTTTCCCCTAGGACACCGTCCGTCGTGTGGATGCGCCTGCAGGCGGACCATCCGCGGATTAGCTGTCCGCGTCCACGACAAATCCGGATTTGGTCCGTCGTCTGAATGCACCATTATGGCCGCGAGGACGCATCGCTCCATCGCCCCAGCGATCCTGCGACGCATCTCTTCGGGGTTTCGCGCATGCGCAATACCGCCGCCCCAACCCTGGGTACGCAAGCCGCTTGGGTACCCAGCACTAAAACTCCCTAGTGCCTCCGCGCACTGAAGTCAAAGCACGGCCCCTTGGATCGGCGTGCGCGGCGGTGTTCAAAAAATCGGTGATCGTGGTCGAAAAATAGTTTTGTTGCGCTGGCGGGTTTGCGTGGCCTCACCGACTTCAATAATTCGCGATTCGTTCCACTCAAATTAACAGCCATGTTCACGCATCCGCCTGCGTGTGGAGGGCATGCTGAGCCGAGTGCGAATTAAGCGAGAACAGGTCCTGAACACAAGACGAATCGCGAATTATCAGAGTCGGTGGGGTAGCGTACGCGGGTGCACTAGACGTAGGCGATCGGATACAGTCGGTGGCCGACGATGTTGGGAAATGGTCTGGTCACTCTAGGCCGGCGACGCCGACGACAGTACCAGGGATCAAAAACAGAGGAGATGGCCGACCGGTCTTTGAAAGATCAGTGTCCGTGTGAAAACACGGGCCTCGTCTGGCGATGCGGGGTGCTCAAAGTAGCGGGGGGGAGGGGGGACAAAGCACGCAGGGGTGCATAACAAAAAGCGGTCGGGGAGAGCGGCAACTAGAGGCGCGCGGTGGCAGGGTCGGCGTTTAACAATAAGAATGTATGGGCACCTCGCCGATGCCTGATGGGTGGTCGAAAGTGGTTTCCCGGGAAGTTGACTGAGCGCCGACCCCGTTCGCTCTAACCGATCGGTGGCGCTCGGAGACGTTTGTTGTAAGTGCAATTTTGTGCCATTGAACCAATGTA